TATAGATTGAGGGAGGGGTGAGGGAGCTTAAGAAATGGTAAATCACTAATAATACTCTCCGGATATTTCTTCCTAACCCAGTCTCTACAACAGAGAAAAGAAATGTCTGAGTAGATTTCACCTAACAGAAGTAGCCACCTCACGTTTGTATTTACTCATTTGACTTTCTGACGACGTGAGCATCGATCATCAGGGCTCCCTCAGTCCATCTGGGAATAAGGATAGGAATCTTCATGTCACCACAGTTCTTACTGGGTTAAGGCACACCGCCATGCTAGTCATGCTTAAGAGGAATTTGCTCGATTTCCAATTAGTATTAAACAGCTTCTGTCTTCTATCCCACAGCGGCATTAATATCTGAAGTGTAATAAAAGGAACCGAGCTAGAAGTGACGTATAGCAATATCCCTTTGATATATTTTAAGATGGAAAAGTACTAAGGGCCCATTAAGAACAACACTGGCACGTCTCCCAATTAATAGCCCCCCTTCCTATGTAAGATACATTAACTAGCTATTACTTTCATTTGTTTTCTTCCATGTCTTATGCCAGTAGCCACAATACCAAGATGACAGGGTTGGGGATGAACAGACACACATTACTAAATATACAATACATAAGTGACAGGGACCTACTGCACAGCACAGGGCACTATATTCAGTTGCTTATAATAACATATAATGGAGAAGAATCTGAAAAGAAAACATACATACGTCTGTACACGTATAACTGAGTAACTTTGCAGGACCCCTGAAAACTAACACTGTAAATCAACTACATGTCAATAAAAACTTAAAACAACACAAAAAGACGACAGTACCCCTCAAACAATATGCAAATTGTCTTTTGGTGCTCGCCAGGCTTTACTACACTAAAACTCAGGCTCATGGAATCAGAAGGTTCAAGTATGCAGAATTCTGACAGATTGCTATGCCTTGGTAAAAGTCAACAAGAAGGAATCCAACTTGCCTATAAAACAAATCCCCAGAGACAGAGTTCGACAGTTACCCAGAGAAGGAAAAGTATTACCTGAGAATCACAGATTAAGCAGAACAAGAAGAGCAGCCAAACAGAGACTAGAGAAAATTTCCTCCTTCTTCCTGCCAGACTCTTACAGGTATCTGTACAGAGCGCCCCTTTCCACCAACAAGAGAGAGCGGGGCGATTCCTGTCACAAAGCACTAGGTCTGATGGAGCCCTGACTCACGCTGGCTCAGTACTTCCATGTTTTACTTATGTCGTCTGAGTCTTCTGTGGTTGAATCATCGGTATTTTTTCTCTTCCCTTTCTATTCTTAAATTCCCTTTTTATACAAAATATAGCACCAGGTATTTGAAATTCTCCCTAATAATGCTGCACACTGTCAACAACAGGACAGAAACTGGCTTACGTATAAATACCCATAAGTAGCAGAGGATTCGTAAAGCTACGTATTTCTGTATACTGGATGGAGATAAGTGACGATAAAAACATATATTGGTTGGGCTTAAAATGTATACTTATACTTCTATGTAATTTTAAAAATCTTTAACATAACATTAAATGTGCAATTTTGGAAGTATAGGTAAAAACGAAAAAATATCAAGCTTAGTAATCAAACTAAATAAGGTTTCATTTTTCTCCTATTAAAGTATCAAGAATATTTTAAAATCAAAGTATACCACAGCGATGGCAGTGTGACACAACTTCCTCTCATAAAGCATTGGTGACACTACAAATTGGCTAAACCAATTTTGAAAAGCAATTTGGCAAAAAAAAAAAAAGCAATTGGGCAAACCATTTTTTTTAAGGAAGATTAAAATGTTGACAACTTTTGACCCAATATTCTTCTGAACCTTTACCCTAAGAAAATAATCCAAAATATGGAAAAAGGTAAAGAGACTAATGAAACTGCCTTTTACTGAGTATCTACTATATGTTAAAGCAGATTCTTTGTGCACTTATTAACCCTTATAACAGACACACTCTGAGTTAGATATTATTATCACCGTATTACTGATGAGGAAACGTTGTGTCAAAGAAGATAAGTAACTTGCCCTAAATTGAACAGCAGTTAAGTGGTGGGCAGGGATTTAAACCCAGGTCTTGCACACTCCAAAAATCCATGTTCCTCCTCCTTGTCGTATTGTGTTTAATATACGTGTTTACTACAGTGTTATTTGTAACAGCCCCAAACTGCATACAACCAAATGCCAAGTAACAGTCACCTCTTAGAATATAATAGAATCCAGGAATGATATAAGATTACATATCAAAATGGAAACACTAAGTGACATAAATGAGTTATCATATTGTATACACACACACGACTGTATAAAAAATTTATAGAAAAAATACTGGAAGGCTATTCCTCATGATAAACTAGTTTACAAGGGTATCAAGGTTATAAGAGAATACCTTTCCTTTCATATATGTTTTTAATGGAGGTACTAGGGATTGAACCCTGGACCTCATGCATGCTAAGCACACGCTCTACCACTGAGCTATACCCTCCCCCTCACCTATTTTCTGAATTGTGCCCAAATTACTTTTGTTTCTTAAAAAATACAACATTTTAAAACTATTAAGAAAATATGCAATTATAGAAACATCAGAGTGGCAACATATAGTTTAAAGGGCAGAGAAATGAAGTGAAAGATCATACTAAACTCTCGATTTGAATTCTGGCTTCAGCAATAATTAATTAGCTGAATAACCTAGGAAAGCTCCTTAATATCTCAGAGCCTCTGCTTCCTCATTATAAAAATACCTACTTCTCAGGTTAATATGAGAATCAAATGAAATGGTGTATACTAAATATTTCAATAACCATAAAAGTGCTTTGCAAATGTTACTTATTATCACTATATGGAACAAAGGATGGAAAAAAAAACTCTCGTCAAGAGGCAGAGTGCATGCTTAGCATGCATAAGGTCCTGGGTTCAATCCCCAGTACCTCTTCCAAATATTAATAAACCTAATCACCTCTCCCTTATAAAACAAACAAAAAGTAAAAAGAAACAAGTAAAAAACTCTTGTCCTGGATTCTAAATATGCAGAGAAATCCATGTATCCTACTGAGTTAAAGCCCACCCATCCTGAGGCTGTCACATTCCCTTCAAGGCTGCAGAACCCAGCACTACGGATGTCCTAGTCTTCATGTAAGGAATTGAACCTGAATTCACAGGTTTGCTCCTTACTAGTCAATAAACCAGTAATAAGTTTCTAACATGTGCCAAGTAAGTGGACGAGAAAACAGACACGATCCCTGCCATGTCCGAGCTCACAGCCTGGGGTCCTGTCACCACAGCCAGCCTTTAAGGATCTCTCTTAGCGGAATGCCATGGAGCATGGACCCTGCAGTTGGAGATGAGGGTCTAATGCTTGTCCAGACACCTTGTAACCTTAGGCGGTCTTCCCACTTCCTTATAACTGCACTTAGCACACAGCAGGTGCTTAACATTGCTAGTTTCCTTCCTGTTCTTTCCTTTACTGGGTAGTCAATAGTTAAAAAACAAAGCAAAAGAAAAACAGAAATGTATAAAAGAGACCTATATAAACATATTTCCAATTGTTATATCATTGTAGACTCCAGACACCATCATCATCATCATATTTGCAATCTCAACTGTTTGCAACAGCCAAGAAAGTCCATACTATGCATTAAGTAATTATTTATCTAAGAAATGCATTTGGACTGAGGGTGCTCTGAGGCCAAAGCACAAAATATTACCCAGTGAATAAGCTACACCAAGCTCTGGGTATGCACATCTCATCCATTATTGGTATCATTATAAAGGCAGTAAGTTTCTTGAAGGTATAAAATCTTTCCTATAAAATTTAACTCTGAAAATAAAGCCAA